GAATTGTGAGTTGCAATTCATGAAAGCGTGTGCCATAACAAAATTGTTAGTCTGTAAGGTGCCACCGGACTCCTTGTTTTTGCTGTAACAGACTAACATGGCTGCCTCTGAAAACTGAGCACACTGCTAGTGATTAAACAAACCAAATACTTAGTGTATATTATCATATTCATAAATAGAATCTGTACTGTCTCAAATTTTTGTTTGGAAGTCTGGACATAGGTCTGAATTTTATGGGCTCTCCTATCCATTACAACATAATGGCGAATTTAAGGCTATACAGAGAGCTGCTTATGAAAAGCCTTTGGAGGCAATTTGGACAGTTACTGAAGATTTTTTTTAACTAATCTTATCCTTTATTTAGTAAAGAACCCTTTTCAAAATGTTCTGTTCCCTTCCTTTACCCTCTTGCAGCAGAAGGCTGTATGAAACTTAGGTTTATGTAATCTATAGATGGGCCAAAAGAAGGTGGTTTTATTTTGATTTGACAGAACCTCAGTATTAGGTCCTCAAACCAGGCCCTATTCAGGGAGTCGTGTTGGAAGCGGCTTGGTTACATTGTTTCAAGTTTACCTTATCTCTGTAGAAACAGGCAAAAAGCAGTGAACTCTGATGACACCTGAAGAGGGGTGCAGGACCATCTCCATTGAACTGTCAATGTCACATAATAACCCGACTGTTTGGAAAGGATCGTAGAATTCACACAAAAAATGTCAAGTTGCTCAACCATTTCTTTGATCAAGATGTTATTTTTCAATTCCCTCCTCATGGGGCTTGTTCTGTGGTGACGAATTGGACTTTCAGTTGTCATGTTCACAAACTCCAGGGAAGCAAATAATGTAGACATTTCAAAGTTCAAAATGTAAATTAAACAACAACCACCTCCTGATTTACCTGGTTAGCTTTGTTTCCCACTGACAGCCATCTGCTGTGATAACTGATATTGCTGAGATAACGTGATGGGTTAGGGGGTGGGTTGGGCAGACAGTATCCCTCAAAGGCAGAGTGTTTGGTTTCTGACTGTTGCTAAAAGATAATCTAAGTTTGTATGCTGCAGCATTTTTTTCAAACACAAACTATGTTTTAAACATACAAGAGAGAAAATTGAGGAGGAGGAGGACTTATCTCATCATTTAAAAGTGTCTTGCTCAGTTTGCAAAGCAGTAAGGCATCAAAATGTTACGATTTGTGATTGGGCACATCTACACAACAGTGCTAAAGCTGAAATAAGATACACAACTTGAGCTACATCAGTTGCATAGCTTAAGTTGAAATAGCTTATTTAGGCTTTTGGTGCTGTCTACACAGCAGGAAGTCTGAGTTAGAGCACCTTTCCTCTGACTTCCCTTACTCCTTGTAAAAAGAGTGTTACAGGACTTGCAGTAGGAAGTCCTTCAGCTCGACATTATTTCAACATTATGTCAAAATAACTGCTTGCTGTGTGGACTATGCTATTTTGGAATAATGTCAGTTATTCCAAAATAACATTACTATGAAGACATAGCCCTAATCACCAAGAATGGGTTTGGCACAGTTCACATAGATAAAAGTAATCCCTGCACCAAATACCTTACGATTTAGAATATGTATTTTTAATATTCTGAGACTGAAGTTTAATCTATCCAGCTGATGAATTACACATCTGAAAGATATTGTCTGGCTAATTTGGGTTGTGAATGCCTTGTGGTAGGAACTGTTTCTTCCTGGGAGTTGTACTGTGTGTGGTACTGTGCATAAATGATAACGTCATACTCTTCAGAAATGTTTCTTCTGACCCAGACTGAATATGAGACATTGCAGGCCATTAGGAACTGTGGACTGAAATTAAATGAAAAGGGAGCTAAAAAGAATGGAAACTCTCTTCCAAGCTAAAATAACCAGAGAGTCTCTTACATATTTCTTATATTAACTTCACAGCACATGAAGGTGTTAATATGTCATGTTCCCATCAATGTGCGAGTGTCCCTTTCAAGTCCTCTGCTTCACCTCCACTTGTGGAATTTGTTGTGCCAGTGGGACTGGACTTGCTATAAAAATCCAGCACGTTAGGTTCTTTTCCCATTCAGGCAGCTTGGGAGCTTGAAGAGGAATCTCTGCCAAGAACTGCCTCCCGGGAGAGTGATCAGTTCATCCCTTCTGATAAGCTGTTTGGTGACTGACAGAGGATGAGCGTGAGGCTTGGCTGGATGGTCTGTGTACTCTGCCTAGCCACCACTGCCAGTGAATTAACTCAAAAAAAGCTCAAGGAGGCTTTGCTGGAGAAACTGGGGCTCTCTGAGATTCCAAAACTTCAGAAGAGAGATCTAGTGAACCTAGTTATCCCAGATCACATCAGGAACAAATACATCTCCATGTTGAGGCGCCACAGAGTGAAGAGAAGAGCCTTGCCAAGTTTGGCTGGCATCCTGAGAGGCATCCCAGGCAATGCAGGTAACGATGCTAGTATTCTTACAAGCTTGGCAAAGTCCCAGATACTGAATTTGGGGGCACTTCAGGTCCAGATATGCATCCAGACTTTCTGGATTCCAAGTATATCATGGGCTGAACAAATGCCATTGTGCCAACTGGCTAACTTGGGGGAATTTCAGTGTGGATCTGTTTCTGGACCCTTCTCTGTTTATAAATGTGTGAATAAAATAGATGTGCCTAAAGTAATGATGGTTGAAAGACTAAAGTATAACGAAGAACATATCATAATTGCAACTGATATTAGAGCTGGTTCATAAATGAGTTTTTTGCTATAGAAAATTTTGACAAAAGTTTTAAAAACTCATTTTAACTCAAAAACAATCCCTCCTTGCCCTCCAGATTTCTGGCTAAAACTGGAACAATATCAATTGTCATTTTTTTATTTAAAAAAAACCCAAAACATTGTGAGGAAAGCAGGTACTTAGCACAAAAATATGTGTTTAATCAAATCTCAAATTTCAGTAAGAAAGGATTTCAATGGAAAAGTTTTACTAGCCTTATATTTTATATAAGTGCCTGTTTATACACAAATTCTCTTAAAATCTGTTCAGCGTTCAGAAGATTTACATTATTTTCCAGGGCAGTTAACAAAAGCCGATTGTCTATTTAAAACAGTCCAACAGTCTGTTTTCATAAATAAATGCACCCAGGCCATTTTTGAGTTCTGAGGGGAAGTAAAATACTAACTTCTTAGATTCCTTCCCGTTACCCACCAGGTTACGGAGAGCCATGCAGAGGGAGAAGGTGAGGGGCATTTAACAAGGCATTGATTCAAATGTACATTAGAAAAGAGGTGTTTTGGTT